ATCCAGACATTATCTCCACCGCGCTGCTGAAATGCTCTCAGCGCATTCGGACGTTCTTTTGTGCGTCGGATAAAATCAAATGAAGTTGTTCAAAGTGATAATATGATAGCACATCAGTATCGAAGAGCTCAGCAACAGGTTCCCACACAGACTGCAACGACACTAAACTGGATATGGTTTCCTTGTTTCTCTCGTTTCGCTCACTAATTTCTCACTTTGCTCACCATACACTCATCTCACGGAGACCCCTCCGTGTGCATAGAGGTCACAGTATCACCCCATTGGAACGGTCGCGTGACCGATGACCACCCAACCACCCAACGGACCCATCCAGGTCCGATGCCAGCTCTGTTTTTGAGCGGCCAGTGTTCCGCGCCGGTCGCCTTTGGACGGTAGCACGTACCGGTGAACGCCCGACAGCGTCCGGCCAAAGCGGTCCGAACCACGATTGTCCATTAGGGATGAAGGGGAGGGGCGGGGCGCGCGTCCCGACACCAACAAGGTCATTGGTGGCACCCCTCACCTCCCTCCCTCCCCCGGGCTGAGACAGGTGGTGGGACGGTGGGGCATTATCAGTTGGTGACATACCAGGGAAATAAGCTAAAATTAGAGCACTCTATTTATTGCTCCTGCCCCATGTTGAAGAGATACCCCTAAAAGCGTGATCTTTTATCGGCCCTTACGCAGCAAGGCAGTACTTCTCAGACCGGTGGATGGTATCAATAGAAAGAGAATGCGTCAAAGATTAACATGAATTAATTAAAATAACATTAAAATGTTAATTAAGCGTGGAAATTAGTCCCAAACATAAGCTAATTATTGCTCCTACCTCGGCGACGGCGCTCCCCGCAGTCAGCGGAGAAGCTAAAATAAAAGCCACCATCCTCCTCCGTAAGTCAATTTTAGAGCGGCCGAGTGGACCGATGCGGGGCCACCAAACTGAGATAAGTCGTGGCTAGCAATTGCAAACCGTCATAGAAATCAATATCTTAAGACGTACAATATGGGATGATTACTCTGAAGCTGGAGTGAAAGCATGAGTAGATTGCAAGAAACGAAATGCATAGATTGGTTGAATTATGTACAATAGGCACAGCTCAATAGATGAAGCCATTTCTATGATGTTGACATCTGACATAACCCTTCCTCTCCTCACCTATGACCTAAGCGCATTGGCAGTTGCCGGCATAGTTTTTGAGCACGAGTGTAATTCGCCATCGGACCGCAATGCATGTTGCTAGGCTGCTGCAATTACAACGAAAATACGAATACTGTCTTCTTTTGTAGACGTTTGTTTTTTAGGCGGTCTTTGACGTACAAGGGGGCATACCTGTCGACAACTTGAGTTCCTCCGAATTTCAAAAACGCCCAGATTTTCAATTCCTTGTGCACTGTTGTAGGTACAGCTATGTTCACAAGTTTTCGTTTCCTCCTGTTCTAAAAAGGATGATATTTGTCGATTTCGTGCGTCGCTGACAGGAGGGTGCGTTTATTAATTAGGCCCAACGCTTTTTGCATCCGCGAGTACCTTCAAAAGGGAACAACAGTTTCCATTTATTACACTATGGGACATGCGACAAAATGACCACTGGAACACGCATGAAACGGAGCTCATATTCCTAAAAATGTCTACAAACACTTCTTTTCTGACACTATTAGCAAATACCATCTCAAGTTAGGTGGTTGACAGATGAGACAGTCAATGGAGATCTGGGGAGACTGAGTGATGCCAATTCACCACTTAACTGATAATGAGGGCCGAGGGGAGAGAAACATGCAACATGCACAACTGACAAGTTGACAAGTGACAAAACACTACCACTTAATTGCGCAGTGCACAACAAATTACAGCAGCCAGCCCAAAAATGCTTTTGGTGGCTAATTGCAAAACAAGTCACTAATAAATGTCTTAGTTGCAGCTGAACACTGCACAATGATCACACTGTTCACGCACTGAGTGAGATGCCACAGGTGGTTTGAATCACACTTTGGTAAAACTGCAAATCTGAAGTGTTGTCATGAGGTTCATGCCTCCATGATCACAGCACTTTGGTTGTGGTTGGCATACCACTTGTAGTCTGCAGAGTTCCACATGAACTGCAGACACCTCATCTGGATCTGGTGGTCTTCATGTTGCTCAACTTCTTCAGGAGGCAAATGTCGACCACCCAGCGGAAGCATGGTCCTGCAGAAAAGAAAGATAATGCATAAGGTACAAACATTATCTGATGAAACAGCCCCTTCTGTTGGCTGTTATTAAACTTTTAACATAACATAACACGTATTCCATGTATATTACATTTGTTGAAGTAAAACACTGCCGGCTATTTCAAAACCAGAAAATGAAATTATATTGTGGCATAATTCACATGCTCAGCTATCAGTATCAAATAATAAATTAATTTAAAATTTGGCATATTCTATAGAACACATTCATAGAATATTCTACTTCACGTCACAAGGACTCACAATCTTTCGGTTGGGTGTTTGATTGACGCATTAACTAAGTTTGTCTTAGGTTTTATTATTGCAAAAAAATCATATTGCATTATTGTATCAAAATACTGCCAGCAATAACAAAACAAGAACATGAAATGTCAATGAGCAAGCCGCCTTTCCTAAAAATGGGTTACTTTGAAAAGAATTTTAGTTTCTTTTAAGGAAAAGGAGAAATGATTATCAGGTAATTATCAGAAAACCACTCAACCAGCAAGTGGCTGGGTGGTTTCACAGCAAACATCAAGCCAAAACATATATTTACATTTATCTAACAATTAAGCCATTTGACTACTACAAGGATATGTGAGCAAAACAAGCATCCAATTATCCAATGTTGACTTCCTTGCAAGTTTATGCCTTATTTTATGAAAATGTGTCACTAGAATATGATACTTATCATCGAATATTATTTAATTTACGATTTATTTCGAACGAAACGCACATGGAGTCCCGCGCCATTTTCGTCGACGATGAATATGATCGTGTTTCATGAAGAGATAAGGGGTTTCAATGGTCTTTCAAAGCAATAATTTGATGCAAAATTTGGTAGGAAATAATATAAAGCTGGTTCAAATGGCCATCAACCATTTAATACACCGAAAATACTCACAACTCCGACCCAACGACCACGCAGCACCGCGCACGCCACACAACTGGCACAATGCCAAAACTGCTGTCACAGCAGAAATGTTTTTTTTTTCTCGATTGCAATTGTGAAATTATTTATTAAACAGAAGATGATCTTTCCGAAAAAGCGACTGATTTTATACACAGATGCATGGAAAATAAAAAATCCCGGTAAGTTTATTTGTATTGTTTTGTCGATTTTGACATGCTCCTAGTTTGCAGCCATATTTCGATAAGTTCTACAGGGAGTTCAGAATTATTTCAGGACCAATCTTTTCCTCGTTCATTTTCCCGTCGATCATGAAATTTTTAGAGCGGAACAATTACTTTCCAGGCGGTCCGAGCGGTTTTCGTGAGAAGGGTGCAAAAATCGGCGTCATTTTTAGAGCCTCGACACCAGCTCAACACAGGACCCTATGGGAGACGGTGAAGTAGCGGAAGCAATAAATAGAGCGCTCTAATTTTAGCTTATTTCCCTGGTGTGTCACCGACTGTTATAGCTCGCCTCAACGAAAGATCAGGCTTGACGGACTCTAATGGATGAAAAAAAAACTAATCATCAATGACAAATTTTACATGGGATACGGCACGGGTTCCGGACAAAAAGTCAAATGATAAAACGTAAAAGGATGATTAGTCAACGGACGTTACGTCAAAAGCAAGAAGTCAAAAATCTTTAAAGCCAACAGGTAAAAGGTCAACAAAGAGGAAAGTCAAAAGACAAAAAGTCAAAGCGGTCCGGGAATCATACGGCACTATTTATTGTAAGCATCTGCACACATCATGCTTACAATGTCTAAGTTATGTTCATATTATATGTAACTAAAGATACATACCTATAGTCAAGAGAATAATGTAATGATTCGGTGTTTGTATTTTGCTCTGATTTGTTTTGTTATTACTGAGAGCATTTTGCGAGGGTTCTTTCACTACATGACACAAACATAGCTTTTGATGCCATTTTCCTCTAGCGCTTGCCTTGCGCTCCGTTAAAGTTAACTCATCGTGTTGGAGCTGCGTCAAGTTGCCAAACAGGCCATATCATTTCCAAGGAGCATCTTCCTTGAATACCAAACCGCAGCAGCCAGCACTCAGCCAGCCATAAAATCGCCGTCTAAAGTTCTGTACGCTTCCCAAGATGTGAGACGTCCCTTTGTTGTCAAAACTGACGGCCGCAGCTCAGCCAGCGCTAAAATGCCCAAATGAGTCCGAAATGTAAAAAAGCGAAGCAAGCGCGAATCTGCGGGGTCTCGGTGAGGTTTTCTACACAGAAATAAAATTATGACGACTTTTCAGTCGCTGCCACCTAATAAATCAAAAGCTGGGTGCTTGTGCAGTTTCATAATACGTGAAAGTAGTCCAGCGCTATGAAATTGAATCAACTCATAGCAAATGAAATCGTTGCCTAAGGAATGCAACTTTGAGCGACTTTGCCGCTTTACTCGTCGTTGAATTCTAAAAACGCGATGCTGTTAGCCAATGTGGCTTATCCATGTGGCCTTGGCCTATATTTTTCGGCCAGCTACCCACCGCGGTGTTTAATGAAATTAAATGAATCTTTCAGAAAGATAAATGCGACTATACATCATCTTGATTTATTGCGCTAATAAAACTTCCTGATGCTAATATACTGCGTGGGTTGTTAAGCCCTTTACATGACTGTAATACATAATAAGTTAAATCTCTCTCCGAAAATCTTAAATCGCTTATGCCTTTATCTACAATAATGACATCTTTTCTGTACATTATTAACGGTCGAAGCCGATTATCGAGATTGTTTTAGAAGGTAAATGCCGTTGAGGAGCTACAGATTTCTAGATATTGTTTCACTGGGAATCCTAATCTGTTTCATCTTTTCACAAGTGATACATTTAGGCATTATACCAACTGTACCTACATAATTGAAATCACCACTGATGGGCGCACCTCTGTTTACCAGCTTAGTGAATTAATGCGTTCGCACGATCCCAGCAAGGAACGTTTCTATAAAGCGTTAAAAATGTGTCTGATTTGATTCCAATGCCGAATCCAATGTAACATATCACAGACCAGAAAAGTGCCTAGAAAATATCCAGATAAAATTGTTTTCGTTCGTATCGCTCGCGAGGAGTAGTCACTACCAGCTAGCAAACTGCAGTCCATTTGCGTTGCAGTCACCGCACGCTCGCTCGCATGCTGTCCCGCAGAACTCGAAAGTATTGCGGCACAGTCTACCAATGCAGGGCACCACCCGTGCCTAGCGCTACACAATGCGCAATGTATGCGTTATGGAAAAAGGAACTGTCGCATGCAGCCAAATGGGTTTGATGATATGCCTAGGTCACCGCCATCCTACAAACGACGCCCACCAACCGGCGCAGCGGTCCCACCTAACGGCACCAGCCAATGGCGTGCTGCTAGTTCATCTCTGTCCCTCCCCTCGCCTGTCACCTATCGTGTCCATCTTCTCTCTTTCCGCGTCAGTCTCATCTCCCCTCCCATCTAGCCTCCATCGATTAGCATTTGCTGTGTCTTTGTGAATCATTCCTATCAAAGGGTTCGGACTAAATTCATTTTAAAAAATCCCTTTCCCTGACCTCCCCCGTGCCCATCTCATCCTCCTTTCGGACCGCTCCTCCCCTCCCTAACCTCCCCTCTCTCTCCCATCTAACCTCCCCTCCCTCCCCTCTCTCCCGGCAGAGGACGGCCGTGTGTCGGAGCGACGAGCGGCGCCGATGACCTCCGTCGGAGATGGTGTCCACCGGGCCCGTGTCGACGGCGTGCCCGTCGACCGCTGACACCGACACCATCGAGCTGGTGGAAACTGTGCAGCTGGCCACCGGCACCGGGCTCAAGACGGCCCAGCCGGCTCACTGCCGGCCACTCTCCCGGGTGCTCCGGATACGGGTATTCCAGGTGCGTGCTCCGGATACGGGTATTCCAGGTATGTGCTCTGGATACGGGTATTCCAGGTGCGTGCTCCGGATATGGGTGTTACGGGAGCGTGCTCCGGATATGGGTATTCCAGGTGCGTGCTCCGGATGAGTGTTACGGGTGGGTGCTCCAGATATGGGTGTTCCGGATATGATGAGACGGGTGCGTGCTCCGGATACGGGTGTTCCAGGTGGGTGCTACGGATACGGGTATTCCAGGTGCGTGCTCCGGATAAGGGTGTTCCGGGTGAGTGCTCCAGACATGGGTGTTCTTGGAGGTGCTCCGGATATGGGTGTTCCAGGAGGGTGCTCCGGGTAAGGGTGTTCCAGGAGGGTGCCCCGGATAAGGGTGTTAAAGATGGGTGCTCCGGAAACGGGTATATCATATATCTATTGATCTTGGATCACATTTTCCTGATCAACCAAACCCAGCCTGCACCACCTGGCGTTAGGCGACTGGGGTCTTCTCCAAATAATTTTGTTACCAGATTTGTTTTGTTTCTCGTCCTAGCGGTTATTCTTAACTTGTTGAAAATTGTTTGTTATTTGCTTCCCTCCCATATCGTTTATGCAAATGACAAACATAGCGAGGACAAAACACAAACCTCAGTCCCCTTTCTACTTCCCCCAGATATTCTGTGGAATCGGCTGCATGATAATGGCAGCAGTGGCCTTCATCGAAGAAAAACGCTTCAACCTAGCCATAGGGCTGGTGTCCGGCGCCTTGACCGTTTTCGCTGCAAGTAAGGCACATTTTCGGTCGCAGGCCGCGACCCAGCAGGATACAGTCGAGGATGTTATTGTTGAGGGTAGCGTTTGACAGCGGCCAAATGTCACTTACATTTGCAGTAAACCTGTCGAACGGACCAATTCGCTTATTTGACTGTGTCACCAATGTTGATAACAGCGGAGGGAGGTGCTGTGCATGTTTACAATGAAATGTTTGCGAGGCGAGAATATGATAGGATATTTGACTAATCGCTGCTCTTCCTTCCAGGTGCTAGTATACAAAATAGTAGCTGCTTTGACACTGTGTGTAATTCCTGGAACATGAACTTCAAGCGAACTTCACGATCTCAAATCCCAAATGTCTTCAGCAAAGCACACCGGGTAAGAATGAATTATAATGACGTGCGTAAGTTTAATAAAGTTAATTTAAACTTACTTTATACGACAAACTTCAGTTGAGTGTTAGATGGATTATCGCTTTATCAAACGTTTTAAGTTATAATCATATTTTCGAGCTATTCCAGCTACCTTTGTCAAGTGTACCTACTCAGCCTTTCTGAGCATCCAGAGTTATTAAGGATTAAGGGACGCAATTGTTTTCCTCATAGACACGATAGCTTTGCTAGAGGTCTGCATCCATCCAACTAACAATGCAATGCCATTAGGCGATGACATCATGTGAAACAAGTGTCGTATACGACGTCGTATGCGACGGTTTACGCCACGACTACATCGCAGTCATTTCACGCTGATCTTTTAGCTCTTCTGTTGCATGCTGCAGTAAACCTGGGGCCGAACTAGGGTCAAATTGTGAATAGCCATTTAGATTGCTGAATTCCAAACCCTGATCTTATACCCCGAATCCTGACCTGACAGTCCCGATTATTTAACCCCGACAATCATTCGTCTCACTTTCTCCGACAGATGACATCAGACCACAGACCTTTGGCGCCTGACCTCCTCCCACTGTCTTCGGACCCCCGACGCTTGACCGCTTACTCAGACCGCTCATTTCTAACAAAGGACCTTCAAACGCCCGACCTTAGACCCCAAATCTCCTTCCACTGTCCTCTGACCTCCGACGCCTGACCGTTGACTCTGACCCCAGCCCCTGACCTGACCTCTCACTGTGATCTCCGCTCCCCGGCTTCGTTACTCATCCCCCCCCCGACTTCTGACCCGTGACCTTTTTGACCCCTTACCTCCTCCCACTCTCTTCTGACCTCCGACTCCTGACCGCTGACTGGCCCTTAACATCTCCCCTTTGACCTCTGACCGTTCACCTCTAAGAACTGACCTCTGACCTCTGACCCCTCGCCTGACCTTTGAGTCTGACCTCTCTGACCTCCGGCAGCCGGCGCTGGGCGTGGCCATCAGCTGGCTGGTGGCCGGCGTGGGCAACACGGCCCTGATGGTGGTGACGGGACTGACTCTGCGCCGTGGCCACCTCAGTGACACGCTACTCATACTGTGCGTCATTGAGATCGTGCTGGTGGCCGGTCTGTCGCTCAGTGCCGCGCTCGTCGTGTGGATTGACTACCGCGTTCTGCGCGAACACGCCGTGTAGTGTTGGCGACGCGGCGGCGGCGGCGGCGGCGGCGGCGGCGCGGATATGACTCCAGTGAGGTGTTTCATACTGTATCACATCGCGACGCTCATGGTGGGAGTGTAAAGAAGAGCGGCCGGCGGGTGGGGGCTGAGCGCGCTCAGGATTTGAGCCCCTCCGTCTGCAGTACGCGCTGCTTGCCCCGACCCGTCGGCCCAGGGACGTTCATCGAGTCATCTTCACCGCTGTGTGTGTGAGAGAAAAAGAGTGAGTGAGAGTGAGATGGAGACAAAGAGTGATAGTCTGGCTGATTGTACAGCTCTCAGCGTGGTTGGTAGAGCTTATTTTGCAACTGCTGTCGAGGCAATCAAAATGTAGTGTGGGTGCTTACTCTGTACCGCGCCCAGTGTTCCATAAGCGGCTTTCCGTATAAGCGGTGATCGCCGGCCTTCCGGCGGCGGTATTGTGGTTTATATTAAACATTCTGGCAGCTGGTTTGCTAACTTGTCATTATTGCACTTCAGCATTGTACTTGAGAAAAGTTAAGAGCTGCTTCGTAAACGTAAGATTTAATAATATTGTGCTTCTTTGTTGTCAAAGAGGATAGATGGCAGTGTTTTAACGTCAAGTTTGGACTGTTTGGGAGGAGATGGAACATTCATTTCTAATGTTTTAGTGAGATGGTTTGTCATCATTTTCTTGCGTTATGTTGTCGGTAATAAATTGTTTAACTTACTGAGCTTGAGCAGTTTTATTTGTGAGAAATATTGGTCCGACCCACAAGGTAGGCCTTAAAAAAACCAGCGCTACCTAGCTTCTAAGAAGTTCCTCATTCCGCAGCCTTATGCCAATTAGTTCACTGTAGTTACACAGCAGAGGCTACCGTATTTGCAGCGGCGCCCGACCACGGCCACCCCTGCCAATCCGCCTAGCGGGCTGTGCCTTCGCGCCGCCAAACTGCTTCCATAAATTCCGCAGATATCGTCTATCCGCCGCTGTTCTGCGGTCTCGTCGACGGTTGCTAACGATTGTCGCCGCCGCGCTGTGAGCCAATGGCGTCGTTTCGTTCAGTGCCGCCGCGGTCTCCGCTACCGTCTCTAGACGTCGTGGAATGACGTCTATACTACACAGTTAGCCCCCCGGCGATGAGTGATTTGAGAGATTCCCCAGCTCATTCTAGAGCCGGAATGCTGTTCCTTGGTCTTTGTCAGCGACTTTGGTTCGGACTCAAAGACGCCATTGCTGGATAACGAAAACAAATTCAGGACAGACATTTTCACTGTTTGTCGAAGCTCGCTCAATAAAATTTGTTTACTTGTTCATTTGTCATCATCACCCGCCCAAGACCTTTGAAAAGGAATGGGGCTCGAACTGAGTTCAGTTCAAAAGCTCGCTGAGCGCATTCCGAATAACAGGGATGGGGAATATGCGCTGCCATTAGGAACGTGCTTTGTAAAATTTATTCCAATGGGAACAGATGTGAGCTGGAATATCTTATCAAACCAATTTGAGATGCAAAATATACCTACTTTGTGGGATGCTTTTGTTAATGAACATGTAGCAGAAAATTCGTAAGGAAAGGTTAAAATCGTCACGGTAACCCGGTGCAGCAAGTCGCGATAGGTATACAACGGGCGCGATACGGCTCAAGAAGTCGGTGCAAGGCACATAGGTACGGTTCTCCAGTAAAAGTCTTGTTGGTTTTGCTTTTTCGGACATATCTGCTCCTATATAATGTTCAAATGCATAAGTATCAACCCGAATTTTGTGTATGCACATTTACCACGTGACTGTGAAATTGCATCGTTGTATGCCAAATACTTTCCGAGATATTCACCAAAAACCTCATTTTCTGCCGTTTGGGGTATTCTGGCCGCAATCTTCCTGGGATCGCCTATGACATCAGTAGAGCCATCTAACGAGAGGAACGCGGAAACACAGAATCATGAATGAATCGAGCGCGTAGTAAACGGTGTATGAAAGGGAGACTCGGCAGAGGCTATCCGGGTGGCCGGCGCGCGGCGCGCCCTTAGGCATCGGCCGACCCTTCGGACCGCGTGGGGTCAGAGATCGCGCTCGGGAAGTCTCGGCTCTGGGTTTTAGCGCTGTGCAGTCAGGAAGGGAGGATAGGATAGCGCTAGCCCGACTGACTAGTATCTCGGCTGATTCGTGTGGGGTAGAAGGGGCACAGAACGGGATGTTGGCTAGTGGTGGATGATGGAATGGCGGTTAGGTTAGTGCGTAGCGTAGAACGTAGCTGAACAGTGAACATGCATTGTTTTTTTTCATGGCAAACAACATGCAGCATAATGTGCGGGATTATGCCAGAACTCATACAAAAAGGAAATAATATTTCGGCCGAGGGAGTGGATGAGTGCCATGACAAGGCATGACGATGCTGCCAAACCGGGATGCTTTTTTGCCCCCATTTTTTACCCCTAACATGCAGCGCTTGATCCGAACTTAGAGGTCCCCGACTGACCTTTGACCTTAAAATCGCACCCGTCCGGTGCGCCACCTTTTCTTCAGGGGCGCTCTTCTTGGTTGTATCTGTTCTTGCCAATAACTAAAGCAAATCGAATGTATAATAAAAAAGGCATACCTCGAACACAGTTTTATTCACACCCGCTCGTGTGCATACTTGTTTTGACCTATACCTTCTCGCATCATAATATCACTTCAGTGCTTAACCCTCAACGGAATTTTGGGGTTTCTGCATATACCCCGGCCGAGGGGGAGGGGCGATTACGACCCCTCTCCATCTTTTTGCCCCTAATTGAGCTAGCGCCTTGCGGATAAAACTGAGCGCGTGCGTCGTATGAAATGCAGCAACTGGTACCCGAGTTGAATGTCTCAAGTCAACGGATAAACTCTGAGGTCAGTATAAGGGCTCCAAGTCGCGGGATCGGTTTTTGGTAAACAACTTCACCACTTAAGTGGTTACAGAGCGAAGATAATGGCACCATCGAGTTTTGCATGCTCAAGCGCGTCGAATAGTATACGCTTTGTTTTTGTTGAGGTCAATTTAAGGTGTTCACATCAGGTCACATGGTCAGGGCAGAGCCACTCAGGCCACGAAGCTGGCCCAAGGAGGTCATATAGCTTCTTCGATTCGGTAGGTCCTCACAAGTCCACTGGTGGCTTCCCGACTCGCTAGGTCAATTTGATCGGGACTTTTTGGTGAAAACTCCTGTGACCTTAGTGACGTCATAAATTAAGTCGCCTAACTTTAAGAATGGAAAATTGAATGCTGGGGCTTGCAAAGATTGTATAAAATCGCGAATTAATGCGCTTGAGACAGCTTTAGATGGCTCCCGGCGCCAAAATAACAGCTTTCATATTTCCCAATTGATTAATAATCGTGAGGTTGCGTGACCGACCTGACTTCAGGTGACTCTTAAGAAAAATACGAGATAGCTACATACAAGTTGTGAGGCCTCTGGGAGATAGTACTAGATCATATAAGCTTCATTCCCCGTTGAAAAGTCCCCTGGCACTAAGGGTGCTGCGACGTCGCGACATTTTGGGACCTTACAGAGGTTCACTTTTGACGTCATTGGTCAACGGCCTGCCTTAACCCTCGCCCGTATAGGGGGGGGGGGGGGTCGAACGGACCCCCCATGGTTTTTCGCGAATAACTCGCGTAAAAAGCGGCCGATCGCGACGAAACTTTCAGTACCCTCGCGTTCATCAATTTCACACCTACCCTGAAAATTTCATGACCCTGACCCAAATGACCTTTGATCTGTGACCTACTTTTCGAGACCATGTTTGGCTGGAATCGCGATTCGGCGTATGTCGGCTCGCATTAGCCGCGCGTTTGCAGTCTTTTCGTGGTTTCAAGCGTTCAAACATGTGATATGATGTTGCCCCCATGCATTGGGGTGGGTGTCAAGGTCACCTGAAGGTCAGGTCAGGTCATTGACCTTTGATGACCTCGGTTCACTTTTTCGAGTTTTACATGTTTCTAGGCCAGTTTTTGGAGCTGAATTCGAATTTAGCAACCATATGAACATTTACGAAGTAGTTTTGGTGCCTTCGTAACATGTTACGAAGCTGTCAGAGGCGGTTGCCACCTACTACGAATACCCTTACTGGTTGACCTGACCTGACCTGACCCGACCTGGCCTAAATACATGAAGACATCATCTGTGATCAAAACTAACATGATATTCGTGATCAGCACCCCGAAAAACCCCATAGCAGCCACACTTTACGACGTTCTAACAGGTCCCGATTTTCCCGCCTTTGGGGTCATTGACCTGACCTGCAGGGTCAACCAATGACCTAGGACCTTAAAATTGGGTATCATCGGCTTCCTCTCGTCACGGGCAACACGCTCGTTTTTTCCGCGAAGCTCTAGCTCGATCAGGGGCGAAACGGCAAGGGGGGGGGGTCCAACGGACCCCCCCCCCCCTTATACGTTCGCGGCTGGAAAAACACCAATACGGGCGAGGGTTAACCTTTGCACTTGTAGGAGGGTGTCGAACAGACCTCCTACCCTCAGTTTTTCGCAAATAACTCGCGCAAAAAGCGGCTGATTGCGACGAAACTTTCAGTACCCTCGATCTAATCAATATTACGCATACCCTATAATTTATATGACCCTGACTCAAAAGACCTTTGACTTGTGACCTGTTTTCCGAGACCATGTTTGGCCGGAATCGCGTTTTGGCGTATTTCGAGTAGAGCGCGTTTTATTGTCTTTTTGTGGCTTTAAGCGATCAAACAGGTGAAAGGATGTTGATCCCATGTGGGTATCAAGGTCACGTGAAGGTCAGTCAGATCACTGACCTTTGATGACCTTTGTTCACTCTTGCGAGTTCTACGTGTTTCTAGGGTAGATTTTGGAGTTATTTCGCATTTAGAAACCGTTTGAACATTTCAGAAGTAGTTTTGGTTCCCTCGTAACATGTGACCTGACCTGACCTGACCCGACCTGGCCTAAATGCACGAAAACATCATCTGTGATCAAAACTAACTAACTTGAAATTCGTGATCAGCACCCCGCGAAACCCTACAACAGCTTCACTTTACGAAGCTCTAACAGGTCCAGATTCCCCGACTTTTGAGTTATATTGACCTGTCAACCAATGACCTAGGACCTTAAAATTGGGCATTATCGGCCTCCTCTCGTCACGGGCAACACGCTCTTTTTCCGCGAAGCTCAAGCTCGATCAGAGGCTGAACGGAAAAGGGGTCCAACGGACCCTCCTCCCCCCCCCCCTTAACGATAGACGCTGGCAAAACACCAATATGGGCGAGGGTGAAAATACAGCTGCTGTCATACAAATTCAGCTTGAATCAAAGGTCAGGCTTGCCAAATTTCAGCTTTCGCAGCTATCAACAAAAATAAACATGTGGAGGCGGCACCCGCCTCCCCGCCCCCCCCCCCTCTCCTCTCGGCCACTGCCAGCGAGGTTTTAAGCGTATCATACACGTTACAAGGCATCATATCAAGATGACACACCCCAGCAGCGATATGCACTGAACAAAAACTTATTACCCACGCTAGCCAGTAGCCTAGTTATCGGCACCATAGCACATGGTCGAGACTGTCGTCAGCCACGGACGCGCACTCGACCAACCCTCTGAGCCCGTTGACTGCGGGTGACCTTGACATGTCAAGCCTGATCGGCGGGCGGCCGCTGTCGTGCGTCGTTACACGCGGAGGGGAGGGAGACACAAAGCTCTACGTTATAGCTGACCTCTGACCTTTCCCTGCGCCCTGGTCACTGA